AACAGTGTATTGAATGCAGTCATTTTTGTCGATTCACAAAGCGTCTTAGCTGCTATCTCTTCCAGAGTTTCCACAAAGAATGTACTTACACAACATGTTCGTTTTAAAGTAAACAGAGCTCTGCGCCTTGGAAGTAATATCAAATTTTGCTGGGTACCAAGTCACATGGGAATTGCGGGGAATGAGAGTGCGGATCGCTTGGCTGCATCTGCCACAGATTCAATAGCATCTTTTGGCCTGCCCTATCAGGATTTTAAACCACTTTTAAAGAAATCTCTTTTAAAGACTTGGCAGCTAGAATGGGACACTGAAACCAACAACAAACTCCACGTGATTAAACCAATGATAGGCATCTGGGAAAGTTCATTTCACAGAAACCGTCGTCTCGAGGTTATGCTTTGTCGCTTGAGAATCGGCCACTCACGTCTGACACATATGTACCTCCTCTGTGGGGAAGAAGTTGCACTTTGTGCCCATTGTGGGGAATTACTTACAATTTTACACATTCTATGGGAGTGTAGGTTTTATCATCAACTGCGCGTATCATGTTTTCCTGAACTTTTTAGAAACTATCTACCCTTTCATCCTATGTTTTTACTTGGTGACAGTGCTTTAGTACCACTTAGACGAGTTTTTAATTTTCTTAACAAAACTGGTTATCTACACAAGTTATAAGAATCTTCTCTAGTCTAGCATCTGTTTTGCTGAGTTTTAATAAACATTTTGTTTGGCGCATTATGGCCTCAGTTGCTGCTGCGCCATTAAAACCTTAATCTTACTTAATGTGTAACTGTGCATCTTCTTTCTTTATAGGTTACCAGTACAAGGTCTGCCATGGATATGAAGGCAGTACAAGGTCTCCCATGGACACGAAGGCAGTGCAAGGTCCCCCATGGACACGAAAGCAGTGTACCGTATACTCGAATTTTGCATTTTTAATAAACCAGTTATTACTCCTTCACACGGTGTTATGCAGGCATTTTCCGAACACTGCATGCGTATATAGGCATACATAAAAGTGACACTTGCACTCACTTTCCCCTTCCCTCAAAACAACGGTTAGATCCGGACCACATGTCATGCAACCTATTGCCGGCTTCCCTCTTAGAGCCGTCTATCTAGAAACCCACGCTAGGAGTATAATTTCTAATACATTTCATTTGAAAGTCTAGATACACTGCTTTGAGTCTCTGTTGAAAATCAAATGTTATTTTCTACTGCGTTACAATTCAGGTTTTGATGGGCCATCTCATTAGGTATATTCCGACTCGTCGGAATATACCTAATGAGATGGCACGTCAAAACCTCAAGTACAACGTGGTAGAAAAAAAACATTTGATTTTCAACAGAGACTCAAAGCAGTGTATCTCGACCTTCAAATGAAATCTATTAGAAATTCTTATGAGGTGGCACGGCTGAACCTCAATTGAAACGCGGTGGCCAATAGTTTTCGTAAACTCCTTAGGGACTCGTTACAAAAAATCAATTGTTTTTCAACACATACTAGAAGCGGTGTCAATAGACTTTCAAATTATATTCATATGAAATACATTAGAAACTTTATGCGGTAGCTTTGTCGAAACATCAATTGGAACGCAGTGGCCAATAATTTTCGTAAACTCCTTACGGATTCGTTACAAAACTCATTTGCATTTCTATTGAGACTCGAAAAGACACAATGGGTAGACTCCATAAACTTTCAAAAGAAATTCATTAAAAATTTTTGTAAGGGATGCGATACAATTCTGATATAATTGTTTAGTATACTTTTCTCTTCTTCTTGACTCAGCAACTGGCATGCAAAGAGTTTTGAATTCGATATCTAAACTTTAGAATGGCTAGCGTTTCATACCTTAAGTATACAGCAAAACATTTTTTCTCCATGTACGATTTGCAGAGGTGGAAAATATCGACTAACAACCAAAGAGCAAGAAACTATGCCTCAAATTGGCCTGGGACCATTTTGTCCGTGCTCGCGCTTGGAGCCTTTTTCTCCGGGGCCATTTTGACTTGGACAATTTTGTGCGAGGTCATTTTGTTTGGGACCATTTTGTCCGGATGCCAATAGAAACACATGACAAAGATGTTCACTATGTGGGGAGCCTTCTGTCTAACTCTTTTTCTGAACAACAAAGCTATTAAAACCACTATGATGTTTAATAGCCTATTCAAAGGCGTATACAAATTAGACTCCAAGACTTTTTTTTTTAATAAGGGTGATTTTGCATGCGAGCTAGTGAGCGGTCTTACTGAGAACCCCCAGGGACATGGCCCCACAAAAATGTGACAAACACAGCACCGTGTTAAGACACAGCTGCAAATCTTAATTTCGCTCTTCATATACAGGAACTCACCGCTGACAGAGCAAGACACGTCAACCATACAGCAAGACGAAGTGAGCATGGCCCATTTCATCTCGGCACACCAAACAAAAGCCCAAATGTCTTACCACTCTCCGCCATAGTTTTCAAATCCGACTGACCTTGGAAGACTAAACAAATAAGAGAGAACACGTCTCGTTGAAGACGACTGAGGGAATACTAAGGCAATTCCCAGATTTTTGTATGCGTATTGCCGCCTTTAGCCCCATGTTGAACGGATCTGTTTTCTTGGAAAGCACTTCGGTTCATGTTTAATCCGTAAAATAGTTGTTACATTCGTCAAGGTGTTTCACAATTTCAGGCTTAGCCGGACTTGACGAAAGCGCTTTTTGTGTTCCAGAGTCCGGTAATTAACACGACGGTCAGTCAGATGGACATACGCGTACGCAGAAATGGAAGCATTCTGTTACAGGTAAGGGAATTACTCTTAATCCTTTAAATATTTTGAAATTTAGTTATTAATCGATTACTTTTTTGGAAATGTAATTTCTAAACTAATGTCTTTAGTTTCTGAGTAACGAATTACTCATCTCGTTACATTTCTACCATCCGCCGAAAATAAAAGATGTGGTGTAAGCAGGGCGATGCGATTATACCTGCGCTTCTATTGCGCGGTCAAACAAGAGGAGGGTTCGCAGGGAAGGAAGTGCTAGACAGGGAGAGAAAAGAAATTCTCAGAAAACGCGACAGCGCAGTGTTCCTTTCAATGGACCGTATGTGTGTGAGCGTGGGGGGGGGGGGGGGGGGGCGCAGAAGTATGAGTGCACTTCCCCCCCTCTGTTCCCCGCTGCTCGGGGGAAATGAGACACAGAAGCCGTGCGTTGACAAAGACGCAGTTTGGTATTTTTTTGCCTAGCGCTTGCGAACACTTCCGGACAACCCAAAGAGTCGGTCCTGGCCTTCGCTGCATGTTTTATGAGCAGAAAGGGCATATGCCAGGAACCGTTTGCCACATGGGAGATCAAAGAATATGTGTGCTGGTATGTGAGCGCGTGCGTATAGGCCAGTTGGGAGGAGACAGGCCGAGGGACGGACTCAAAGAAGATTCTTCGGGCACATTCGGTGACCCACCCATGACGCCATGACATCCAAGATCTAGCCTTCTATTTTTTTTCTTGGAGGGTGAAACGCAATGGATGTAACGAGAGCGGAACAAATGTGGCTGGCCCATCATACAAGGACGTTTTGAGAATGGTTCTTCTCAGAAGGTTGAAACGAGAACGGGCTCAAATGACAACCACACCCTTCCCCTGTCTGCGTCTTTTTTTTTTTTTCTTATTGCGAAAGTATTACCTGTTCAATGGAGCGAACCGACGTCATCAGCTTTTGAAGCCGCGCCAAACGGCAGCTTCCCCTGTCCCAATGAAGCGAAGCCTGTCGTCTGTACCAGAAATCTGATGGATAGGCTCCCATTGAATGGCGCGCATCATAGTTTCAGGGAACGATGCTCCCATTGGCTCTTGCGCGGCGTAGGTCCCATAAACGCCACCAGAGAAACTCTCTCCGTGGCGGCGCAGCGCACGCAGCGGACCGGCCGCCGGTAAGAGCTGCGGGTCTGGCCGCAGAGCCCGCACAGGCAAAGTTTGGAGAGGTTGCACGGCCGAGCTCAGCGCGGAGCGGCCACTTCACAAGAGCGCGCGCTCGGCCGTCGGCCGCTGCCTCGGCAATAGCGAAACGTGGCCGTCCACGCCAGTACGTCGCAGGCCAACTAAAGGAGCGGAAGAACGACATTCATGCTTTCGCTGTTCACGCCTTTGCGTTGCGAAAGCTAAATACCGCAGGTCACCCAGCTATGCTCTTTCCGCCACGTGACTTCCTACTAGCGGACTTGTGTAAGCAGAAGATGCGTCGGCAATGTGGCAGCGGCAGCTTATTGTAAGAACAAAATTGTATTATAATCTCTGCTGTCGGTTTAAACGGAGATTGGCCAAAAACACTCGTCACTTTCGACGGCAGGCAATGAGCAGGCATGCCGCCAGACTTCTCTTTCATCTGAAATAAATGACTACCTGCATACACATAATAATAGGTAAGTAATTGGTGTCAGTTTACAAAAGCAGGCGATAAGCATCATCTAACCTCCAGCCAGATCATATGTGAGCCCACGTGTCGCTTGAAACACCACTTCTGGGTAATTACACGGGTTGATTGGACATTTGAATTCATAAGTGTAATCTGTTTTATTGAACAAATAGGTATGGTCCATGAATAACATTAAAAATATATATTCAATGTGTTGGGCATCTAGCCGCCTCAACGATATGTTACGGGAAGTATTCGCGTTCCTTTAATATATATAGTTTTGATAAAATAACGTGTACCAGGTTGATCTGAACTCTGTATTTTCAACATAGTTGGACATCTGTCTTTTTCATTACGCGAAAAAATATGTATATTATGATGTCTTAAAAAACGTGGGAGAAGATCTTTTTAAAATGTTCCGAAATGCCTGTCGTCGCACAAGCCAAATCAAACAATTGTTTGCGGACTAGTTCCGCACAAGACAGTGAATTGTTGAAAATAAAAGGAGAAAATGTCAAGGCTTGGCTTTTGTTTCGTTTTTCGAGAATAAAGACTCTCGGATGTTGGAATTGTGCGCTCACTCGTTGCAGCTTTAAGATGGAACTGATATTACGTTCAATCCTGTGGTACTTCTTGGCTGTGCTTGTATATGCAAAACGGGGAGAAATACGCATCGCCGATTATAAAAACTATTGGGAATATCAAGACATCCAAAAGGCAAGTTTTAATTGCAGCTCTCATTGCGTAAATTTGCGACTTCTAGGTTGAATATTTGAGACCTAAGGAAGCTTTGTAATTCTTACCAATAAAAAAACTATACTCGTGTTCACCTCAAGAACCGTAGTAAAAAAGGTCGGGCCTCCTGGCGGAACGTTACTAATTTCCCCTTTCATGTTTTAAACTAGGCTATGCTACATAGGTGTATCCTTGATTATCTGCATGCCATCTTATTAGGACGTACACGTTTCAAACGCTAAAAGTATCGTATCTTGCTTCGACGATCAAATTTTAATGATCTACTTCGCACAAAACACGAATAATGCGGAAAACTCTTTTTTTCCTTGGTGCGACAACTAGATAGATTAAAAGATGCGCGTTGTTTATATGTATGTATATATATCTATTTTTTTTAGGACCGCGGGGTGGGGTGCAACCTCTCATTTTATGTTAGTGTGCGAAAGGGCATGCGCTTTTGTTTTGTTCTCCAGCATAGATCTGTTTTACACATTTTCAAGTGCGGAATTATACAAACGATTGGTTCTCTTTCAATACATACTTTTTAAGCTTTTAATTTATATTCTAATATTTTTAAAACTACTCATAATTGTTCCTTTGGGGCTCTTCAATGACCGGTATAATTAATGCACTATAATATTTCCACCAACTACTAAGTATCCGGTGATGGTACGTTTTCTAACGCTGAGTCTATAAATGCCAGCGGTAATCCATATGTTTATTATGCACCGATGCCATACTCTTAAAGGGGCCCTGCAATTATATTTAAGCGTCTACCTTTTTTGCGGTTTCCGCGTCTCTTAGAGTTGGGGCAAGCCAGCGGGGACGGAGAGAGTGTACTAAATATCAGTGTGTCATATTTTAACCGGGCGACGCGCAAGCCTCCTCCACCTACGGGGGCGACCCGTGTTGCCGAAAGCGCGATATGTGACTTTTTTAGTCGTGGGCTTACTACTGGTAAGAGCCGCTAAAAGCTTCTTTTTAGTCGAAATACAAAATATGAGTGGCGCGAAACGTTTCAATTATTAATAAAAGTAGTTGTTGTTCAGTATTTGAGATCAGAAAAAACAAAAACAAATGCAGTTTAGAAAGTACGCAAACAAGAAATGACCCGTCGACATATTCGCCACCAAGCGGTAGAAAAGGCGGCGCATACTTTTCATTCAAAAAGTGGCTCCCGTTCTGAACCGTTGCTATCGCTTGTGGCCAATGAAGTGTCATGATGAATTAGTGTTTAATCGCGCAGCAAATGCAATGCGAGCCGCCCTGGCTGGCCGCTTCATACAGCCTATCCAGATAACGCTTTAGTGGCGCCCTCTCGAGCCGTCGACACGGAATGCGGCAGCCCTGAGCGCTCGCTGAGCTCACTACCCCTTGTCTAGTTCACGGCCACTGAAGCAACCAAGGATGTCTTGAAGGAGGTTATTTTTGCTTGTTTTTTTGTAATTTCTATTCGCCTATAACTTAAAAATTAAAGCGAAATTCGAGAAAAGAAAAAGTTTCATTAAGTTACTACGTTCAGTGCGCTCAAGTTCGGTACAAATTAAGAATTAATAAAAAAGTCCTTGCAGGGCTTCTTTAAGTCACGCCGGGCCAATGGGGCTTCGGGCGCACCTCCGCTCTAAAGTGTGGGCAAAAAGCTTCATGCGGGCCGGATATTTATATGCTGTTTTAGGAGAAACGAGTAGAAACCTGCCTTTTTCCTGAAATGCCACAGAGCTCTGTAGACCACCAAAAGCGTTTCCTAGCACCAAAAGAACTGGGAAATGTGCCCAGATTATTTTGTTACGTGTTTACTGCCTTCCCGATCTGTCCAAGAAGGTAAATATGTACTGTAAGAAAGAAAAAGTAAAAACATTTCCCCAAAAATCTTTAGAATTTTTTTTGTCGAAATAATTAATTACGCAATGACGAACGCCAACTTTCCATTCAAATGTAGCACTAGCGGTGCGAACCACATACAAACGTTTCAGGACCAACCGATATCTTAAAGAATAGTTTTCTAGTTTTTTTTTTTTTATATTTACTCAGAAAATGTCGTCCGACGGAGCCCTTGAAAACATGGAGCTGAATGGCGCTAGTTTCTAATATCTTGTATAGGGTCCCATTTGCCCAATGACTGTTTCAGAAAATCACTTAACTTTGGAATGAGATGAAGAATAGTTCAGAAATTTGAAATTACTCGTTTGAACAGCTAGTGCTACATTTGGGCGGACAGTAAGCCTTCGTTGATGCGTAGTTTATTTTAACAAACAACTGCACCATTTCTTTCTTTTTTTTTTGGGGGGGGGGGGGGGGGGGCGGTTACACAATAGATGCCGTCGGACCACGATTGCTTGTGAGGGAAGCGATTTGAAGTGAATTCGCGGAGGCTTGTTGTAATATTTACTTCTATTGTTCCAACATGAATGAGGCAGAATAATCAAGTGGTCCAGACGACTCGTACTACGTTTAATACGTCTCCTCGTTCAAACAATCGTTTCCAAGTTCAAACATTAACGGTCCGTAAACCACACTAAAAACGCATGGCACGCAAGTTCGTCTACTCCTCGAGCACCTCGTGCGTTTGTTATAGACTCTCTTATACTACCGCGTTGAGCGCAGCGAAGGTAGCGTAGCGGAGAGCGTGTACCTTCATTGGCTGGCGAGCACGAACTCGATATCTGCGATCAGTGTCCGCTACGCTACGCCGCGCCTGCTACTCTCCACATCGGAGTATAACGGAGACCTCTAAAATCCTGTAAAATTGAAGAGTGAATACGGCTAATCGGGTCGGTGTAAACCGCTGACACAAGCAGTGTTAAGGCGTTACCGAGAAAAAACTAACGCAATGCGTTACTCATTGCCGAAAACAACAAAAAATAATCGCTTTAGAGACCTACGTTACCTCAAGATGAAAGAACCGCAATAGCGTTGCTGCTACCGATCTAAAAGCCGTAAGTTACAATTGCGTTATTATCTATTTATGAATTATAATGTTTTTTAGAGCCCAGCTCTTAGGCACCGGTTTCCGGCTTGAGCGGCGTCGGCGTCGGCGTCGCCGTCGGCGTAACTGCGCGGTGCATTATGGGACGCGTGACGTCACTGATGACGTCATCAGCATCCACATCGTCATCGTCCCCGATGACGTCATCAGTGACGTCACTGATTACGCCATCGGTATCGTCACTGATGACGTCATCGGCATCCGCATAGGCATCGTCCCTTATGACGTCATCAGTGACGTCACTGATCACGTCATCGGCATCTGCATCGTCATCGTCGCTGATGACGTCATCGACATTGTCATAGTCACTGATGAAGCCATCGTCATCATCACGTGACCCTCGTGAAGTCACGTGACCCCAGCGACGTCACGTGACCCCCGTGAGGTCACGTGACCCTCGTGAGATGACGGCGACGCCGCTCGGAGGGAGGAGTAGCAGACAGGATGAGGAGGTGGGGAGGAGGGAGGAAGGATATACCTTCCCCTCAATACCCTTCCCCTCCTCCTCCTCAAGAGCTGCGCTCTAATCCGGCGTTCAGGGAGTTGTAATGAACATTCATTTTTTTATATTTTTTTAACATATTGGCGTGGAAAAGTCAGAGGCGAATTTTAAAGGTAATTAAGTGTGCAAGAACACTATGAGTGCACTCACCTCACACTCATCTCATTCCTGCTTCTCATCCCATAACTCAACTCGGCGCCGAAAAATTACACAAACAAAGATTAGATTTATGTTTTTTAACTCTTGGGAAGAGCATGTTACGAGTAACGTAACTACGCTGCCCGTCATAAGAAATAAGACACGTAAGTGCGTCATGCATTACTGTATCGAAAATGTAACGCGTACGTGACTGGGTTACAGGAAAAAAGTAACGCTTTACCGATAACGCCGTTACCTGTAACGCTTTGCCACCAAAACTGGGTACAAGATAATGTTCGAAATTGTAAACGGGGCCAATCGTAAATTTGGTATTTCTTATTTCTGATTCACAGGATTGCCATGAGACTCATGAAAACATTGGGATGTTTTGTTTTGATGTTGAGAACCGCACCTTCTATTTCCTCTTCAGTTGCAGCCAGAGTGCCGTTGCGAAAGAAAATAGGGAGCGAAGCCTCGCCATATCAATCAGGACTTAACCTCCGTGCGGAACGGATCACGTACGCAGCAATATTCACGCCAACATTTTGCAGTATAACGAACCTTGCCCATTTCGCCGAGGCCGCTGAAGTAGTTACACACTGTTGTTTTCATTTGCTGGCTTTGGTATTCAAGGTTTCTTTCTACGTGCCGTAATGGCCCGGATGGTACCTATCATCGCACGAAGATGGTCAGTCGATTCGCCGGATCCTTTCATTTCTAACGTTGCGCCACTTGTCGGCTGCAGATCAAAGTAAACGAGTACCGTCTGCCTAACGCCGCCATACTGCGACCACCGAAGCTCGGGGGCCCTCGATGGCGTCGCCGGCGTCCCTCTCCTCGAGAAACCTCACTTGTGGCATTTGTTCGTGTGGGTAAACATTGGCCACTGAAGATGATGACGGCTACGCTGAACACCCGTGAACTTAGGCACTGCATGGGAGTGCCAAAATGGGCCTCACCAATGCTTCGTGGTCTGCATTGAGCTTCTTCAGTGAAGCCGGAAATACTATTTACAACGAAGTGAGAGCAAATCTTCGTTGTTGCAGCCGTTGCCCGGTATTCGAGAGTTTTAGCGGATCATTCCGATACCTCCGGTCCTATACCCCCGATGACGATACCCGATAACGATATGACGCATGCGCAAAGGCGGCGGCGGAGTATCGGGTATCGTGACCGAAGTCATCGGAAGGATTTGCTAAAATTCTCCATTGTCGGGATCGCGAACCTGTAGAAGTCGTCATACCACTACCCAAAACTGGAATAAGAATTGATTTATGTACATCTTACTATACCGGCATGTACTGCCAGACAGTAAGCAAAACATAGTTGGTAATAATTAAATAATAAATAAGGTTTGGATCAATATATTTCTTCCTTTTGTTCTGAGCAGGTCGAGAGTTGGTTGAGTCGTTGGTGAATAACAGAACGTTCCAATATATAAATATAAGTAATACAAAAAAAAACAGGACACTCATAAACACAATTAATTAGAACATCGGTTAAAATAAGAAAATGTGAACGCACGTTTCTAGTCTGTACCTTTATTGTTGCCGTTCAAAACGCGCGGAGCACGGACCGACTGCAGTTTACACCGATGTTCTCCAGACAGACGCCCGCTGATGCCACGGGCAGTGAAGGGTAGTGCACTAAGTAAGCCACACTATGGCCCCACGCACAAGTTTCACTCTCTGCTCAAGCCCAGAATATCAAGTCTACGTCAGCCACCATTATGTTTTATTTGTAAAAACATCTGCTTGAGATAGGATGCGTCCTGCTGGGGTAAAAATATGAAGGAAAAAGGATGACTTACCATTTTCCAAGTGCTCGCAAGAAGCTGACCCACATAAAGGGTGACTGATATGCAGATAACATGGCTTCACTTCATAAATAGAGTGGCCCAACCGTAGAAGTAAGTCTACAAAAAAGTAAGTAGCTCTTAAAACAAGGTGAAATAAAATGAAAAGAAGCAGAAACAAATGCATCCTGTTTTCTAAAAGATGACAAGTATGCAGCAGCCAACGAGGATGCTTGTGACAATAACTCCTTCAAATTCTGCCACATCTCTTTCAGCGGATTTTAGGGTAGACGGAGCGTTCTCTCTTGTTGTGACATTGTGAAAATGGCCATAGTCCCAATAACCGAGAAATGCATTGTTAATTATTGTCTGTGCACTTTCAGCCTCGGTCTTCTCCAAGGGGCATACCATCTCTTGGTGTCCTCCTCTTCCCGTCTTCGACTTCTTTGCAAAGAACAAACAAATTGACTAAAAAAAAGAAGATATGACTTTTTCCCCTTTTTTTCTTTTTAAATATTCATATAGATTTTTTGACGTTTCTATGGTTTAAACAAAGATTCGAATAGATTCAGGGGCTCAGCGTTGTAAAGAAAGGCTTTGAGGCATTGAAAAGTGCGTTGCGCTGGTCATTGCGCTTGACAGTGTGACTGCGATCCACTTTTAGCAAAATAAATACAAGCTTTTTTTTAGTGCGAAAGCATCAACTGGCTTATGATTCGAGCGGACGTCATCTGCATTTAAGCCGCACCAAACGGCACCTGAACAGTTCTCTCCAAGTGAAGCCGAGATCTGATGGCTCTCAGCTTTGAAGACGCGCGTAAAGCCTAGTCAAACGGCACCTAGTTTCCCCACTCCGAATGGAGCGCAGTGAAGCCGAAATCTGATGGATTTCGGCTTCGGTTTCATTGGCCGGCGCGCGCCATAGTTTCAAGGAACGAGGCTTGCATTGGCCGCTGCGCGTTAGTTTCAACAACCGCCACCCCATGGCGCTGCATGTCCGTGCCGCCAGCGCGCCGGTAACAGGAAGCGACTGGCCGCCGAGCGAGACAGCGGCTCCACGCCCAAGGTCAACGCAACGAGGAGAGCGCCCGCTCGGCCGTCGACGCAAGTACGCCACAGACGAAATAAGGAAGCGGAAGAACGACATGCATGCTTTCGCATTCACAACTCATGAAAAGTGCTTAGGTGTACCTCGAGCCTTTTTTAAGCGGGGGGGGGGGGGGTGTTTGTGAGAAACTGTAAGTGATTACAACTAATCAGTTAAATAAGTAATTATTCAGTTACTTAATTACTGATAAATATAAGGAATTACAAGTTATTTCGTTACTTGTACCGGATTACCAACAAGCATGAGCACAGCTTCCACTGAACTAATCACGAGACTGTTTTTTCTTTCGGAACCACGCCCCTTATATTTTTTTTGTTTGATGGGTGCCGGGTCGTTTTCCAAGTACTCGAACCACGAGCTTGTCTTCCCAAGAGGTTAAAAGCCCCAATAAAAACTGAGCATTTCTTTTTTTTTCTATTGGCATGACACCAGAAATTTTGAATCTGTAGGAAAACGTTTACCCCAAAAAGGCACACCCAAATTTGAAGAAAAATTAGCCCCGAAACCACGGATCGCTAGCTATAAATATGTTAAATTCCGCATTGTTAATATTTTTATGTTTGGTTACTAGAGTCTTGCACATCAACTTCTGCGTGGATAATAAAGTTTCAAAAGTAGGTACAAACGCATTGAGGTGTACCTTTGCGTAAAATATTTGGATGCATATATTCTTCAATACATTTTGAGAATATTCAGCTGCACCCAAATGTTCACATCTGCAAAAGTTTTCTTTAAAGTGAAGTAAAGTTTCTTTTACAGGCTCTAGAAAACGAGGATCGCAAATCGTGGATGTTTTACCGATCATATTCAGAATACACCGGCGGCTCTCCACACACCTGCGTGTATTCAAATGTGGACGAAAAGACGTCGGAGGGAAGTCTTTACACATTCGAGCAGGGATACACATTCTCAAAGGAAGGACAAAACGAAACGTAAGAAAATAATATTTATATATATTTAATAGTTTAATGAACATTAACGATAGTGCAGTTTTTACTTTAGGAAGACACTGAAGTTGTTTGCGACTACTTTTATAAAAGAGTCTCTATACACATCAGAACGTCGCACAACTGACAATGCAATGAAGGTCAGTAAGACTGAAGGTAAGAAAGCAGCTAAACATATGTATTATCGTATAGCCACTCGCCAGATTTTCTGTAAAAATATGTCTTTATCAGAGTAGAAAAAAAAAATCAAAGCTAATAGTACGACAGAATCACAAGTGATCTTATAGACCGACACGCGGGCTTGACGTCACGCAGCTGCGGTGGCGCTGTCGGCGGCACTGCGCATGCGCGGACGCTTCGCTTCACGCGAATGTGGTTTGTGCGCACGCGCAGTGCCCACACCTGTTGTGGGCAAACGCGGGCTTGTTTGTAAACAGCGTGCCGGTCTATACAAGAAAAAAAAAACATTTCGGCGCATTGAAAGCATTGACCACACAGATCATCCCGCCTCATATCTTGCTAAATATGGCGTTTTAGATTTTGAAAAACTTTTTATTCTGAAATTTAGAATGGAAATATATTGAGAGTTCAAAAGGGGGGGGGGGGAGAATCTTTTGTGAGGTTTACCATTAAAAAATAACACAAACAGCAGAAACGCTCAAAAACAACATTGTAAAACCCGAGACGTAGGACAAAAGGAGAAGAAAAAAGGTGACAGTTGCGGAGGGGGCAGTGGAAAGGGTGGATGAGAGAGTAGAGTGTTTGACAGTGTGACGTCATGCGCCGAGGGATGGTGGTTTGGTGTCCTTATAAGCGAGGCAGGGGAAATAAATGTTCAGCTGAGTTTCAGACCTGTGTCTGTGTTTTCCCCTTTTTTCTTCTCCTTTTGTCCTACGTCTCGGGTTTTACAATGTTGAAAGTTCACCAGCTCGCTGGCATCTTCTCTGTAATTTCTACGCTCAAAAACAACTGAGAAATTCATTGTACACGAAATCTCAAATACAAGGAAGGTATGACTCCCAGGCCACAGCCTATCACTACCACGACTTCTGAATGACCACGCCGTTGTTAATAAAATAATGAAAAATTCCACTTCACTTCCCATATCTATAAATAACAACAAAAAGTACATGCTACCGGATTATGAATACTGTTTCGTATCTTCAAGTTCAGTTGTTTATTATAAAAGTGTTCTGTCTAGTCGTGCATAATCACTCGGAAACCACGTGCACACGTGTCTTTTCTTCCTATTACATCATACTTTGACAAAAAAAGTACAATTGTGAAAATGTAAAAGTGAAGGAAAATCGTTGACTTGTAGTCTTTTAGCTTTCTAAATTTGAAAATGTTTGAATTTTTTTTTTGGCTACCTTGTATTGTGCTACGCTGGTGCATTAGATTTTTGCGTTTTTTTCCTGTTCTGTTTTATTGTGTCTGTTTGCTGAGCAACGTGTACAAGGGTGGTGGGGCCTCGTGAGGTAAATATTTGTGTTGATAGAAGCGCCGAAGGACAGGAACAAAGCGAAGTAACGACAGAGCGCTGTTGTGTTGTCGTTACCTTCTTCACTTTATTCCTGACCTTCGGCGCTTCTATCCAGTCATGAACCAAATAGTTCAACTGAACGTTTTGTGGTGAACGCGGCTTCCCGAGGTGATCACCTCGAGCCCCTGGTGGTAGTGGTGGGGGGGGGGGGGGGGGAAGGGGGGGAGGGGGTTGTTTTGGGGACTCCTCTTTGACGCCTCGGAAGTGATTTCGTTGCTGACTTGCCAGGTGGCCTCTCTCAATATGGAAACTAAGCGCCTTAGGGCTGAGATGACGAGAGCCTCCGAGCGACCGGCGACGCTTGTCTGCTCGCTGCGCGGGGATGTCAGGGCGTGTCGCGCCGAAATCGCGGGCTGGAAGAGAGCCACCGGCACCGCTGCCTCGGAACAAGCTGCCCGACCTGCCCAATCACCGCCTCCGCGAATTCTTCCCCGACCCACTCCGCGTGAGCCTCAGTCCACTGGGATTGCCCCTAAGGGGGGCAATTCCAGTGGAATTTGCGTCGCAGGGCGGGCTCCCGGCTTGTCCTCAATCGGGGCACAATCACAGCGAGTCTAATGGACAGGACAGAACACGGGATTCAGCAATCTGTCCAACCTACCAGGATGGTGCGCAGGATAGCCGGGTAGGGCGTCCGAGACAGCGGTGTTAGCTCGCTCAAAGGCTCGAACCACTGCGCTGACTGGGGCACCCGAGACATGCAAGCTGAGCATTGCATCTTCGTCAACGGGCCAAAGAGCCATATTTGTGACGAAGCTGGCACCGGAAACGACATGTCAAGAAATCTCTTCTCACCTGTCCTCCGCCGGGATCGAGAATCTTAAGTGCGGACGACTGAAGACCCGCTATGACACCTACTCCTGTAGAGGCCATTGCGTGGTAGTCTTCTTGATGAATTGCTTCACGAATGTGAGTTGGTAAGATCACCTGCAAATGACTGGCACGCACATTTACTATCAAAACGTTCTTGGCCGTCGTACTAAGGCCAGTGACTTCTTTTTGTAATGTTATATGTACTGATTTTTTATAATTTGTCTCACGGAAGCCTGGTTGGGTGTCTTTTTAGGGTTTACATTTTTTTTCAGGCTTAAAGCTCTACTAATGCGGTCTTTGCATGTGACGTGTACCGACAAAAGGGCATAATATAAGGGGTAATCGCAACGATAAGCCAAATAATTACCTAAACATTATTAGTTAACTCTGTATTTATTGAAAGTAGGCGCATGGTTTTAATAACAAGCCAGCCAAGTGGTATTTAAGATCACTAAATCAGTAATTTTTACGAATATTTGAAGCTCGTGAAAAGCACCGTACTGCGCTAAAGTTACCATTTGGGTAATACTTCCGAAACTGGTGGTGCAATAGCGCGGATATTTGACGGAAAAACCGCACGGCCTCGTTTCCGCATCTTCAAATCTACAATCAAAATATAGATATTATAAGATAAACAAATCTTGCAAAAATGAAAACCTACCAACACACTATCATATCATTCACACAATGCATCTGTACAATATCATTTCATCATCATTAGAAGCGATGCCGCAGGCCTTCACTGTATGGGCAACTTGTTTTCTGTGGCGCTTCGGTTTTCCTGAGTAAAAGTAAATCAATCAATCAGCCTTGCGACTGTTGCACAAATGGGGACTTTAGAGCACTAACACGCTTCCCACGCGCTCTGTGACTTTCTAAAATTTACTTTTTTAATGGTTCTAATGACGTTCAGTAAGTTTGTATTTAGCTTTATATGTTTACCTTCACTACTTAAGAGTTAATAAATAAGTTTTAATGAATTACCCCCATTTATCGAGACAATTAACCTCCTCTGTTATCTCTCCTTGTCCGAACGATGCATCTGCAGACACCGCACTTATTTGGCTTTGATGGCTTTTTAGAGCGCAGCTCTTAGGGGCCCGTTTCCGGCTTGAGCGGCGTCGGCGTCGCCGTCGGCGTCGCCGTCGGCATAACCGCGAGGTCACGTGACCCTCCGAGGTCACGTGACCCCCCCGAGGTCACATGACCCACCCAGGTCACGTGACACCCCTAGGTCACGTGACCCCCCGAGGTCACGTGACCCCCAGAAGTCACGTGACCCCCAGTAGTCACGTGACCCCCTGAGGTCACGTGACCCCCCAGAAGTCACGTGACCCCCTTGAGGTCACGTGACTTCCCGAGGTCAGTTGACCCCCTGAGGTCACGTGACCCCCTGAGGTCATGTGACCCCTTCAGGTCACGTGACCCCCGAGGTCACGTGACCCCCAAAGGTCACGTGAGCCCCTGAGGTCACGTGAGCCCCTGAGGTCACGTGAACCCCTGAGGTCACGTGACCCCCTGAGGTCACGTGACCCCCTGAAGTCACGTGACCCCCTTGAGGTCACGTGACCTCAAGGAGTCACCTATCCCTCAGTACGCTTCCATCTTCCTCCTCAAGAGCTGCGCTCTAACCGGCGTTACAGGGAATTGTAAACGGCTTTCATTTTTTTAAAAGCAGTTCGTAAAGGCTAAAGGAACACCCGGTAGATCATTCAAGATGAATATCGTGAGATAATGTTGAAGCACGGATTTAGAGGCTCATTGTCTTTTCAGGCCAGGACGTAAGTACTGCGAAATAAGATGAAAATAGTTAAATGTCATGATATAGAATCGATCTCTGGAGCATATGAAGCAGAGGAGGATATGGCTGCATACTTGAAACCTGTAAAAGTCTTCTCCTCCCGGTTTATGAATGGAAGGTTGATTTATTGAAGACAGTGATGTTTAAAAAGATGAAACAATAAATGTTGGAGAGGTGATGATAATTAGCAGATGATATATGATTAGTGTCGTAAGTTGAGAAATTATTGGAAACGCTGCCGAATATCAAAACATCGGACTACCAAATAAGACCGCACAGGATGTGAGCAGGCTACCATCCAGAGCCTTCCGACATAGGCGTAATACGGGGATGATGGTTTGTTTTCTGAATGACCTTATAAATGATCTGTAAAGAGCCTATCATTGTCACGAAACAGAGGTTGCAGTTAGATAAAAAAAGAATCTGTGAATTAGAATAATCATTTTTTGATTTTTGAAAAATGCACCTTGCCCAAGTTTTTGTAGGAGGAGTCAACAGTGAAATTTGAACAATGGTGTGGAAATGCGAGACAAATACCGGATTTTTTACATCACTAATTTTTAAGCAATTCGGCGAAATGCAATTAGCTTTAAACGTTCAAGTGCGATAATTAGGGGCGCTGTGTAAGTCAACGGCATGGGGAGTAGTGATTAGGAAATGTACGTATACATCCCTTATATTTTCTGTTCGCTTTATGTTTATAAAAAAAAATACTCTAACTTTGAAGGATTTCATAACAACCTAAAAAACGAATATTTAGGTGCTACAAATGGAAGACTATACCAGCTGATTTACTCTGACTATAAAAAATGTGACATCTTAAGAGTTATGGATCGAATGAATGGTGAGTGCCAACTATTCATTATTCTTGGTTTATTATTTTCTAAAATTATACATGCATAGATCGAAAAAAAAGCAAGAACGAGAAATATTTAGGGTGCGTGAAGCAGACCTCGATCTGCCCCTTTATGAAGATTCTGTTGGTGATCAGCCCTCATCCCTTACTCAGTTTGCCTCGAGCCCCTTGGCCGTTGCGGCAAATAAATGCCCATACGCAAATTCGCTTTTGAACGCGTTAAGGCTGGTTCATAGATTCGCGTTAGAGTGCGTTACGGCCGAAGCACTCGTACGGAAATCTATGAAACAGTCTTGATTCATCCGCATGCGACCGACTCCAACAAAGCCTGTTTTTAAGCCTCTTAGGACTGCTTACGAAGGCAGCGCTGCAAGAAGCATGGAGTCCTTAAGTAGCATAAACGCTGGTTGTGACAACCAGCGTTTAAGCCGCTTACGCCGCTTGTCGTAAGCTGTCCTAAGAGGCTTAACAACAGGCTTTGTAGGAGTCGGTCGCAGGCGGATGAATCAAGACTGTTTCATAGATTTGCGTACGAGTGCTTTGGAACCGACACAACCAGCTTTTAAGCCGCTTACAGCCTCCATCCTTTTAAGACTCTTGAGAATGCCGTAAGCATTCTCAAGAGGCTTAAAAAACAGAATGTATGGGTGTCGGTCGCAAGCGTGTGAATCTTTAGAGAGCGGTGCGGCGTCCTTGCGGCCAGAAGCGGTTGCTTGCGGTACGACGCGCGCCGTCGCGCAACGCCTTGCAGCGCGCCGCTAGATAGTTGAGACAGACTCAATTTTGCACGCGACAGTAGCGGTAGAGCGTTACTGTAGACCAATCAGAAGCCGAGAAAGCGAATGAGGGTTACGTGCTGGCTTGCGCCACTGGGCGAGGCGCCATCCTGCTGTCTCTCTCCGTTGGCGGAACTGAACGTTTCGTTTGGGGAAGTGGTGGGGACTCGGTGACTACGGGATCAAGTTTTTCCAAGGCTGCGATGGTCCAAGCTGGACAGGACGTCGGTGAAGCCAACGGGATGGTCCCAAGATCGACCTCTTCGGCACTGTCGCCGGGCGCAGCCATGTTGCTGTGGATTTAACTTTCTTTTGGCTAGCGAGGATAACGCGTTGTTATTGACTTTTGAGTGAGGTCGCCTGCGTGTCAACGCAACTGAGTGCACAAGCTGGGCGCAAGCGCTAAAAAGACGCACACAAGATAGAAGACAAACACGGGCGCTACTCACAACTGTATTGGGAAAGGAAGATGGACGTGCACACATATATATATATATATATATATATATATATATATATATATATATATATATATATATATATATATATATATATGTGATACCGTTATAATTACCCAGGCTACACATGCGCGAGATACAACAGAATAAACTCGTGTACATAAATTTATCAAAAAAACGTATCTCAGCATTATATAATGATATTGACGTGTCGCTGACGCACTGTGGTCCCCTCTTCTTGATAAAATATGCCTCTTGCAGTTCGCGTAGTCCTTGAGTTCTGCTTCTACCGAGAATCTTAGTATCGCCGAAGCGTGGCTCGCATTTGCAGGCCCTACAGTGCGCGGGCAAATGTGCCCCGTCATTTGTCTTTATATTTTGTGCGTGCTCTCTTATACGGTCATTCGTGCATCTTCCCGTTTGTCCAATGTAAGATTTTCCACACGTTAGGAGTCGGCACTGAGCAATATGAGGCCAGAGGTTGTACCATATGTACACAAAATGGCGCATAACCTGAAGAAGGTTGAGAACAGGTACGGAGTACCTCTCGTGTTTTCAGCACGCCAGGCCGTACATCGAATGCGTCACAGGGGCCGTTTATAAAATACCCCTAACGTGTGGAAAATGTTACGTTGGACAAACGGGAAGATGAACGAATGACCGTTTAAGATAGCACACACAAAATTTAAAGACAAATGACGTGGCACATTTGTCCGCGCCCTGTAGGGCCTGCAAATGCGAGCCACGCTTCTGCAATATCAAGATTATCGGTAGAAGCAGAATTCAAAGGGCACGCGAACTGCAAGAGGCATATTTTATCAAGAAGAGGGGACCATAATGCGTCAGCGACACGTCAATAGCATTGTATAATGCTGAGATTCGTTTTTTCGATAAATATATGTAAACGGGTTCATGCTCTTGTACCTCGCGCATGTGTAGCCTGGGTGACGATAAGTGTATCATATATATATATATATATTGCCGCGCGCAGACTTGCAGAGGGTTCTCGTTTGTTCTTGCTGCGAACATAACTTCTATCGTTTTTAGTTGTTCTAGAAAGTGCGTGTTCATTCTCGCCCCAAGCGCGCTACGCTCGAACGTTCCCCGCCGAATCTTCGAGATAGTGACTCGTTCTAGATAAGAGGCCGCCCGCGATCTTGTCGAGGCAGTCTTGCCCCAGCGTTCGACTCTGCTGCCACGCCGACTTCGACGCCCGCGACGCTCTATTATTATCTTTTATGCTCTTTTATTTTTGGCACAAGTTCGCCACATTAAACGTTTATTTCTTCATGTTTATTTCCTGTTTTTTTGGTCACCACCTGTGACAATATGTGTACTTCTATCTTCCTTTCCCAATACAGTTGTGAGTAGCGCCCGTGTTTGTCTTCTATCTTATGTACGTCTTTTTTGCGCTTTTAACCATGGTTCAATAACGCATCGGTGACTAGAGCACCCTAAGCGCGAGCGCTCAGTGAAAGCAGAGCGGAATTGCACTAACAGCGTGCTGGAGGCTTAAGGCCCGTTCACACTCTTGCGATCTGTTAGAACCCAGTGCCTTAAAATCTTTTAATATCTCTTACAACGAGAGGGCACACTGGCGCCATCTATTGGGTAGAAGTGTAGGCTTGGCAGTCCGGCATATTTTCTATTTCGCTCGCGTATTATTCTTTCTTTCTTGGCTCGAAAAACTTTTGTTAACTTTATAAACGAGCCTTTCTCACAGGTATTACGCACATTTGACCTCGAAAATTCCGCAAAACATTTGCAGTTGTAAAATGCAGTTCCAGGGTCACCGCATAGATGGCGCCAGAGTGCCCGTGTGTTCTCTCGTCCTAGGAAATTTGAAGACGTTTCAACAAGCCTCGTCTCTCTCGGTTGTACTCGGTTGCAAGAGTGTGAACAGGCCTTTAGCGTACCAAAGGCAAGCTCTGCTGTTCTCGCCTTCAGTGGCAAAAGCCTACAGAATTAGCATAAAATCAAATTACCGCGTTTTTCTTTTATTAGGACGTAACCGAAATAGTTCACGCCCCATAAATCATTCGACTATTTTGGAAGTTTTCAATAATTCCTAGAATTAGTTTCCATATATATTTTGCAAACTGACTGAAACTCTATGAAGCAAGTCATAATAGTGCTTCAGCTCTCAAAAGATAATGCCTTTTTTCTTATATCATGTTATGCAATAGACCCGTTTCAAAAGTTTATCAAGCAACATTGGCGTTCGCCATTTTTTGGAGTCCTAAGCGTGTGATTGGATACGAGTCCTTGCCGAACGCTGACGTAGCACTCGCTCCCAATACGAGCTGAGCCGATTTTACGCCGAACTCTGACGCAGCCATTGTGTCCAATACATGGCCAAAGTGCGCGCTCAGACAATATCGGACTTGAATAATTTGTGCTGCAGCTACTAGATAGCGTGAACTTTTGAAAAATGTTGTGTGGTCTGCGTACTGTACAAAGAGTAATTTTTTTAGGGCTTGCTTTAAAACTTTACTACCAACGAAATTTAGCCACATTCTACGCAGTAATGTACGCTTAAACCAAACCCAGTGTGGTTTTCAAAATTTTTCTAAAAATTTTCTTTCCAGACGGTACTCTGCGAATAATATAAAACAAATACATATTCTTAAAAATAATTCACTACTATATTACCCCCACTATTCAGCTTACAGAATCGGCGTTTTATTAGAGACCAAAATGTCATCTAAACATTTTATACGATGCGAAGGTTACGGAAGATTATTTCGTTAACACTCCATGGCACACTCGCTACATTTGAACCTTCATCTCTAGTTTGAATCCATCAATATCCAAACCAATCTTACTTTTCTTTTTTAATCTCGCTCATGCTTATACAAAGTCGCTAGATTTCTCTTGGGGATCCGAGGAAAGTGCAACAATATCAAATATACATGACTGCTTTCATTGCTGAGTTCTAGAGAATATATAAATATATGTGTGGAAAAGACTGTTTCGTAGGACGACGATCAGTGCATAGGAGAGTAAAGTATTCGAAGCTTTTCCTGGAGTTTTATCACATATTGGTCGACGTTTTGGCTTGAGTCAGGCCTTCATCGGGACTGGTTACAAAACATTCTTCGTCGTGGGGACACGAAACCCCCCCGAGTCCCGTCACGTGTCACCTATAACGTGCATACCTTATTAAATGCACAATAACAGGTGACCGCTTATTTTCGGTAGAAGGTCTGGAGTAAGCGGCTCGCAGTGAAACTCACCGCGAGGTCAAACGGGGACGCTCCCCCTCGGTGTCAGCCCGAAACACGCTCATAAAAGCGCAAGCAAATCTCCCCCCTCCAAAAAAAAAAGTGGTGCTAATTATAGGCATTGTCATTTAACAAGAGGCAAAAATAAATCTAAAATAAAACAAAACCGCACATTCACAGCCTTTGAGTCGTACCGTGTACAGGTCAGAGCAGCTGAACCGCCATCGCCTCATCGACAAAGAGCGCACGGTGTCCGCGATACAAGATACTCATGGGGCAACCAGGTTCTCACTTATTAAAATAATATAAGCGAGTGCGAAACACCGCGGAAATAAAGCTTAAACTCTCACAGCAGCAAAAGTTTCAAAATTAATTTGCAGGCATGCCCGACCAAACAGGCACAACACGGCGATTGCCCTTGAAAAAATCTGCACGTAACGATCTTCAAGGTAGAAAGACGAGGGGTGATTGTGGTCGTTTAGACCACCCTCAATGCTCTAAATTATAGCAATAACATTATAATCAAACCTGTTGAGAAGGGTGGCGCCATAGTTACTATTAACACTACTGCCTATACGTACAGGAAGGGTATGGACAACTTAATGACACAAAATTTAATTCCAGTCTTAGCAAAGATCCTACCATGCAGCATGCCGAAATTATGCATGAACAACTTGTCAGCTTTGTGAGGTGAAATCACCACTAACATGATAAAGGCTGTAACTGCTAAACACGCCGTCCTAGGCCGATTTCGTATGGTACCAAAGATTCATAAAGGCAACCCGTGTTGCCCTATTATATCTGGATCAGGGACTCTAACCCAACCGATCTATAGCTTCATTGACTACTTAATTAAAATACATCCCGCCTACATTTCCATCGTACGTCCATGACACAAATCACTCTCTTGCAAAGATTTCAAAATTAAAGATACCCAAAGATATCTTTCTTTTAACATTGGACGTATCGGCCGGTTTCGCGGCCGCCGAGAAATTCGGCGGCCGCGATTAGCCGATGTCTCACTTGACCTCGGCGCCTGCCAATCACAGCCGCCGTATTTCTTGCCGACTTTATCGCTAAGTGCCCAGATTAGGGCTCCCAGGTGTGTTTGGAGATTAGGGCTCCCAGCTGTGTTTGAAGATTCGTGTTTGTCCTTTGTCCCGCTTCTTCCCCTCCTCCAGCGATTCTCATCGTAATGCTTGTCCAGATCGCTTGCACCTTTGCATTAATTGTTTTGTAACGTACATTTCTCTGCCAGCCAATAAACTCAATTTCTTGGGTTAACCAAGCCTAAACTCATGGACTCTAGAACAAGTAGTTGAAGCTCAGAACTGCTGCAATGATATCTTCAACTATGAATGCAGGCAAATTATAATAGAAAATTTAATAGACAATTAAAAGCAAACTAAAAAGAACACTTTTTGTGTTGCCAATTTAAAAAAAAATATATATATATATATATATATGAGTTGGTTCGTAAGACTGCTAGATCCTCTTACGAGTCGGCGCTTTCTGTCATCCCCATAGACGAACGACTTGAACAAGAATATGAAAGAAATAGAGCTACACACCGAGTGCCCTTGAAAATCATCATTTAATATTACAAGACACGTGTATAGCATTCAAATAATCGAAGTTCTCAGGAGTGGAAACTGAACTTATGATTTTGAAAATCGTAGACCCTGCAATCTTTTACATCTAAAAGCCTATAGTTCGCTGTTATAGCGCGTTTAAAATATTTTTCTTAAGTGTTATACCTTAGAATAAACATCTTGAATCCACATTAAAGACACAAAATCAACTTTTTGTAATAATCAAATGCTAAAAATGTCAGCAATTTTTTTTAAGAATATTTATATCCTGTGATATTTATCGCGTTCAGTTGTGCACTATTACAAACTATGCTTTCTCCTTCTGGAAATCGTAACGCTTTAATGTATATGTTATAGAGAGTCCCATCTATTAAACGAAGAAGTTTCGTAAGCATGCAGTAAAGTTTACTCTTGTCCCCTCATAAATGGCGAGTTTCTTTTTTGCAATGTTGTTGTTAGTAAGTATAAGTCGCATCAATTATCTTTTTAGGTTATGCCTGTGAGCTCTATCTTCACAACAACGCTGTCGATGATGGTGTACCTGAAAACTGTAAGACTGTATATGGTAATGCATGCGGGAAAGATGACCCATCCTACACGCAGCAAGTGTACTACCCGTGGTGCAAGAAGACAATTGAAGGCCCTAAAGAGACAACTTCTGCAGAAACGACCCAAGAAGAACAGACGGAAGAAGTTACGACCGAAGCAACATTGCCTCCTGGATGCTGACGATCTTTTGTAGACATTTCTGGGCGTTAAAATAAAGTGCCTACACATACGCGTATGAAATAGTCGTTATGAGTCGCTATCGGCAATATAATGCTCTCTTTAAAGGGGTCGATGCAACTGCTTTTATATTTTGCGCAATTACCGCTGTGAATGAACCCCTGACTAACCTAACCTAACCTAACCTAACCATTGAAACACGCGTTAGGTTTATAACCATTAAATATTAGTCGCAGAAAAAAAAATAATAAAAAGTGAGCAGCGTTTACTTGCTGCTCTTTTTTCTTGTTGCTCATAAATCCCACCAAGAAGAAGCAGCCACGTGGTCTGTAGCCGATCAGCCAATGTTTATCTACCAGCGCGTACGAGTTGGCAAAGCACAGAACATGCGCTGAGTTATAGGCATTGTGAGGGCAGCAAAACTCCGTCACTCTGAGTGTTGAGAAAGTGGTACGTCGTTCGTATCTGTTGTGTTTCCTACTCTCTGGATGACCGCGCTTTAAATATTCAAGAATATTTTATCAACAAACTCTCCTGTTTAATTTTAGGAATATATTACAAACCTCGTTTATGACGCCAGATTAAGTGTAGAGAAATCGCTGTAAAGCAGTGCGATACTTTTCTGGCTTTCCAGAGTAGTTATTTTATTTATGTTTGACATTAAAATGAGGGCTTTGTAGTGCATCCAGCTTTTGTGGTTCACTCTTAACCATAAGCCTCTTCAACAATGGTTAGTGGTGTAGATCATTAAAACTCTCATATTTTACCCTCGCTTAACAGCCTTAATCTCGTCCACATACACTGAGCTGCTTGCGCATTAAGAAAACCGCAGGCCGACACTACAACGCTCATAAAAGAAAAAAGAAGTTCAGGAACAAATTTGGTAGAATTTCGTGAAAAAATTAGTGCCCAGTTCAATAGTTGTTAATGGCTTCGTGCCGCGCGATAACGTTCGCATGTTTCTTCGCGTGGTCACCGATTTCTTTTTTTTTTTCAAAAGCATGCGGCTGAAGTATTAACTAAAAATAAGAAAAAAAAATGCGAATCCTGTTTACGTCACGCACGAATCGAAGGCTTGTCGCTGCATTCGCAGCGGAACTCAACAACGCGTTGGCATGGCATCTCCCGTACGAAGCGCGGTCGCTTGTTTACATGGGGTCTTTGCTGGTCAGATGACTTGTTTTGCTTTCTTGCCGATACCAAGATGGCGGACGTAGTTTTCGGCGCGATACTAGATGGCGCTCTACATTTCGCGTATGGTTTATCGCTGCTTTCCTACCAGCATCATTTCTAAACTTTGGCCCAATCGAAAAAAAAAAAAATCTGTAGATAGTTTACTTTGCCCCTTCGCGAAGTGCCTGACGTCGTGGATACTCACGTGGTTACAGATTTGTATCTACCCGAGAGAGAGAGAGAGAGCGACTGTTAAAAACAACTTTTCTACAGAGAGCTTTGGATGAAAAGAGGGGGGGGGGGGGGGGGCAGTGCCTGCTAAACAGAATGAGAAAAAACAATCAAAAGTAGACCTCAAGATGAAGTAAAGGCCCGCCGTATATTCTCCACTTGCAGCCTGTTTCACAAAATGAAAACCAAGTTGCTCAACGCTTCAAGGCTCCTGTTGTATTCACAACTCTCCGCAAGGTGATGTCGCTGTGGACGCCAATTGACGACCCTCGAATCAAGCTTTTATAAAGAGACATTAAAAACAAAATTCCAAATGCACTCCTGGCGTCGTATACGATATGCCACAGGCATGCAAAGTTGGACAGAGGATATGCAGTGTGTTTCAGCTAACTCGCGCCAAGTCTTAAAAAGTTAGGCTTGTGCACGTTACGCGTATCTAACCAACGCAGTAATGCTCATAGTCCTATTTAGCAAGTAAAGATACTTTTACAATGGCCATATTGGCTAATTGACAGAGACTAACTAGCTGACCTCTAAAATATTTACTTGTACGTTCAACCTCCAACACGAAGGTTGTAAAGAGTGTAGTGAAACATCCTACGCAGTCATTTCCATCAAGGTAGCCTTCGTATCTCTAATTCTTTAAAAAAAAAAACGTGCCAGATAAAAAAAAAAAAAAAAAAAAAAAAACTCACGCGATTAAGGACATGACCATCCCTGTTCATTTGACGGTAGCCAGTACGTTTATATTTATATTACGGGCTTTTAAAAAAAAAAAAAAAAAAAAAAAATAGACACATGAAGGTTACCTTGACAGAGATGACACGATGGAATCCTTCTGAACACACCCTACAACGATTGTATTAAAAGGTTTGCGCACAAATTGTATTTCAAATGTTAGATAGTTTACTTGATTTAATTAGCTTGTTTGTGATTTCTTCACTTGTTTAGTAGAACTGCGCACAGTACTGCACTGGTTTGACACGCGTCGCGTGCACTAGCTTTTTTTAAGCATTAGAACACGTTAGATGAAACATCCTGTATAGAAGATGCGCCTGCAGACATGAACACGACCGCTGCTTTGACCGTCAGCCTCACCGTCATAATCATCATCATCATCAACATAATTACCATACTTTATTTTTCCTTCAGGCCCGCCATGGCCAGAAATTTATGACAGGCGCATCTAGTTCACTTATCTGGCCCCACGTGGCGAATTCACCTTTAACTTTTAGCCATGTGCCAATGCCAAAACGGGATCTGTGCCGAGTAAAAAGACAAAAAAAACAAAACACGCACACAAGTTAAGCCGAGTAACTTAATAGATAAAAACAGATGAGATTATGAGCGTCTGGCATTTGCAACATACTGATAACTTTATTATTACAGCGAAGCTGTTATGTGCCATCATCTGAAAATAAAATGCGTTTATGGATGTTAACAAAGGAATTCTCGGTTAAACAGCGCTCCTTTGTTCCGGTTGGTCGTGCCAAGCATAAATAAAACGAGGGGGCAATTCGCGTGAGTCAGCCTTCCTTGGCATTATTAGATAGTGAGGTCCTGGTCCTTTGTTATCATCTACCGTCACCGACTTCTCTCAGCTAAGGGTGCGCTGTGACGAGGCTGAGGGCAGAACGCGCCGATCTAACTTTCTTTTCTTGTCTTCTAATTGACGTCGCGTGACTTCAACACCAATGCAATTTCCCGCTAAATTCAGCGGGGTGGTTACGGCGACCGCGACGCCGACCCAACGGCGACGCCGCGAAACGCAGAAATTTAACGGGCGCCTAAGAGCTGCGCTCTAAAATACGTGAAACCGAAGATAAAGATCGTTACAGTGATCCCCCGAAGATGCGCGCCGTTACCGAGCGTTTTGCAGACCGCGCGATGCAAATCACAAGATACTGGACGCAATAACTTTGGAGCCAAGCATTCAGTAGGGATATATAGTGCATGGAATCCAAGGAGTAGGCTTATGAGAGTGCGTTGGAGCTCACTCTGTTCGTTTTAAGTGTGTTATTGTAAAAACTGAATGCATATCGTTTTTTTTAAGTGTGTCTCATTGTACCCCACTGCAATATCTCATTTGGCCCAACAGGGCTGGGCAAAATGAGACATTGCGTGGCTTACACATATTGTAGTTTGTTTAATGTTTCGCTTGCTAGAGTTGAGTATTATTTACTGAGCATAGATTCAAGACATCTAAGAATTTCCAGCCGTCCTTTCTTTTCAACACAGCTCTCTGACATCTAAGAATGCCTTCAAGCTGTGTTTTTTTATATTAAAGCGGAAAAAAGAACAAACAAAAAAAACAGTGAAATTATAATATTTGTCTCATTTTGTCCCGCCTTACCTTAATAAACATGAAGTTATCAAACGCCAATTAATATTGAGCTGTTCGAATTTCTGAACTTCTCATGCAATGCTCAAACTCCAAGGCGACATTTAGTGTTTATTTGAAAGTCCCTTGACGATGATATTTAGTTTACACACTAAGTTTCATCTTTGTAGTAAATCCTGTTCAGTGCTTAATCGGAAATGCAAACAGCTCAATACCACCACGCTTTTGGAGATTGCAAATACACGATACACTTCAAACCGATAAAGGGCACGTTCGTTTTCCCACTGTACTTGGCACGTTATTTCTCTGCCATAGCAGGCGTTTTTCTTACATTTATTTGGTTGTTAAAAAGTATGCATTCAGCCACACCGAGCTTTGCTTGTCAATATTCCGGTGTAACGACCTGTGTGAGCACTATAATGACGAATATGGCGGAAAGCCCTTTGTTTTGTTGTATGCCATTTATTATTCTTAATCTTTCCGAGGAACATCAAAATAGGTTAGTGCGAATACTGCTTCAATTTGAATTGCTTTCGACAACTGTTCAAAGTCAAACTGTTAAAACATTTTTTTTTCTGGCTTTCCCTTGCACTATATATTACGCGGAGGTATTTGATGCGAACCGCTACTCGCTCATCCGCACAAAAAGTATACCCGTGGCTCGGCCGCCGAAGAGTGCGCAGATCCACTACGCGAACGGTGAACAATTGGGATAGGTCAGAGTGCATAGCTAGAGAAAGAAACAATACTAAAAATTGGACAAGAACGCGATGTGAACAAACGTTGCGCTGACTTGTCAAAGCCTTTCTTCATTTCTTCTCTTTGCTCGCCGTTTTTTGCGTTGTTTCTATTTTTTCTTTATATTTTGTCCATTGTAATATTAGACAATTGAAAGCGAGTCGTCTTCTACGGAAATAAATAAACTGCGCAAAGGTCGAGGACAGAAGCAGAAGCAAGTACGACACATGGAGCGCAGTAGTCTTCTCTGGCGTTAAGGGCGGCAAATAGTATACCACGCCGCCGTGGCATATAGAAAATATATTACCTCATTATTTTTTTTTTCGATGGGCACGAAACGTTTATTTTCTTCAGCTGGTTAGCAAAATAAATATAGTTTTTTAATATATTTCTTAATACCAGGCTCCATGATCGAAACGTCGTTCACCAAGCACCGAATTAACGGGTTTTGTCTCTCTCTTTTTCTCACTCCCTCTCCCTCTTTCCACGCTCGTTCTCCTCACTTGAACACCTCCTAGAA